AAATCATCATCTTCCGAATATTGTTCATAAAAATGTTGAGTATCACGTTCTAGGTTATGGGGATGACAACCCCGGTGTAGGGCCAAACAACGAAAGAAACACAGTTTATTCTCGTATGGTAGTCCCGTTTGCTCATTACAGTCGAGCGACACAATGGCACGGCTCTCCTGTATGTATTTGGGTAGCCGGACACCACGACCGATAGGATGATCGCGTAATTTGGTAACGTAGAAGGTAACGTTGGTAATATCCATCACCACCCATTTGGAATTAGGTCGTTGTTGTTTGGCCCATTCAAAAACATCCATATTTTCCAACGCTGTACGCACTTGGTCTAAATCCTCGCGGTTATGTATTTGGAATGGGGAGTCGAAGACACGGTTGTTATTTGCTGAGGGGTGGTGGTATTGCATTTGTTGCGTCTCGTTATTAAATAATACGAAACCAAAAGATAGATTTAACTTAAAGACCGTGGTTTGATCTTCAAATATACGGTCTATATCGTTGACAAGTTGACCCATATTCGCTGAGCTTAGACGATAGTTGTACCAATCTTGCACTCGATTGCCTCGGCTTTGTCGCGTACGGATAGCACGCCAATGATCTCGGTGGAGTTGGGAAGGAAGGTTAGATGGGGGTAATAGGGGATCTTGAGGGAATGGTTGGGGTCCTATAGAAATAACACCCGATTCTTTATTTTTGTCTAGAGCTCCGCACTAATTTGTCATACAAACACCCGATTCATAAAAAATCGAAATAAGTCTAACATGAATAAATTAGGAACATGCAATTTCACATAGCAAAATGATAAACCCACGCAACAAAAACTACTTTTACCTCACTATAAAACGCTAGCGAATGTTACTAAATGATAAATACTCGTACAATGACATAAATTAATAGTTCTAAATCAAATGAACATAAGTCTGTCATGAATAATTAGGAACATTCCACACTATAAACCCACGCTTAAAAATTACTCGATTATGTTTATCAGGTTTTCAAAACACAAACATTAGTGAAACAACATGAAAACAGCATTAAAATATTTTTCAAATGTAAACGTTAGGATTTCAGGCAATGTTTTAAAACCGAGTAATTAACATTATCAATATACACAGCAAATCACCACAATCAATATACTATATACGGTATAAAAATTTGAATTTCATACCTTCGTTGACGACTGTAGAAGTGGAAGCTCCTGAAAAGGAGAAAAAATGTATTAGTGTGATTTTAACTCAAATTATTACACAGCATATACACTCTCTTACCTTCGTTAACGCGTGTCGAAGATGCTGGTGGTTCTTAAACGAGAAAAATATCTGTATAAATACAAAGATAGTAATCAAAATATTTTCATTTATACATACCCGGTTCAGCAGTTCTTTGCCTTTTTGTTCCCGCGGTCGGCGTCTTCGTACGTTTCCCACCACCAGTCTGATGGATATTACGCTGATGGGCTTGGAATGGAAATATGTTTCGAAACACCTCACCACAATCATTACAATTATACTCCCTTTCGGCGCCTCTTCGTTCGTGCATTTTCATATGCCTATTCAGTTTGTCCTTGAAAAATAATAAATAAACATAATAGTTTAAAATACATCGCAGCTAGAATATAAACTGTCGGTACTACATACCTTTCGAGCAAATTTCTTGTGGCATCTATGGCATTCGTATACTTTTTCCTTGCTATGGACTTTCTCGTGACGTTTCAACATATCTTTCCTAGCGAAGGATTTGTCACAATGGTTGCAAGAAAAAGCTCTTTCCCCAGTGTGTACACGTTTTGTATGGCGCTTTAGGTCGCTGGATCGTGTAAATATTTTGCCACATTCATCACAGCTATGTCCAGGGTTTTCGTCTCGTCGCCAATCATTCCATTCAGCCAAAATCTGCTCCTGCGTCTCCGACGACCAGGACTCGAACATTTCATCCGCAGCAACGGCGCAAAGCTGGCGATTGACATCGTCATTTTCCAGTTCGCTCATAAATTGATCTCTCCTACAAAATATAGAAGTCGATTACATACACAAAACTTTCAGTTTAAATTAAACTTACCAAATATTCTCTCGATGTTGCTGGGCCATTCTTTCTCAAGTACTTCTCTCCAAAGAAATATTTAACAAAATCAGCTACCCAAAAGACCTCCGAGAATAAGAGCGTTGTCAAATGCAAAACTATGCTTGTTACAAGACGCTTGTCGATTTTATACAGACGCTCGTTAAATCAAATAACCAATCATAGTAAGCCAACATTAATCCCTCAATTGTATCATAAACGTGGTGGACGCTAAAAAATGCATAGTCAGCAAGTTTCGCCTGATTTTGTTTAAACCTGCCCGCGTGACGTCATTGCATATAATTATGACGTATGTCAATGATGATGCGCCGCCCCACGCCGCCCCACGCCGCCCCGCGCCGCCCCAAAAATAAGGGTCGAACGGTACCTATATTACTACTTATGACCCGATAGGCTTCGCAGCACCGTATCTGGTAACAGCAAAGATTGATTTGTAAGAGTTATGGCAGGAGGGACTTGACTGGGATGATGAACTGTCACCGAATGCTCAAAGAAAGTGGCTATCATACATGGAAGAAATGGAGCAGCTGAACAACATATCGTTAGAAAGATGCATATGTCCAATCGTCACCCGTGAACCACCAACCTTGTGCGTTTTTGCTGACGCTTCGAGCGGAGCCTTTGGGGTATGTGCGTATCTCAGAAGCGAAGACACCACTGGATCAGTTCATGTTAGATTCGTTGCAGCTAAATCACGAGTAGCCCCATTGAAGGAACTGACTATTCCGCGGCTAGAACTTCAGGCAGCGGTGTTAGCCAGCAGGTTGTGCAAAACCATAGAGAAAGAAATTCGCATCCCGCTTCAAGAAAGTATATTGTTCACCGACAGTACGATTACCTTAGCGTGGATCCGTAGTAAAGGAAAAAGGCTCAAACCATTTGTTTCAAGTCGTGTCGGGGAAATACAGACCAACGTCCAACCTGTCCAATGGAGACACATCCCTACCGAGCATAATGTTGCAGACGATGTATCACGAGGTTTATCGGTTGCTGAATATAAATCCTGCACCTACCGAAAGAAGAATGGCTAATAGAGAGCGCGAACGTTGACCAGAACGAAGTCGAAAGAGAATGCAAGAAGACACAAGCAATAGGAACTGTGACATCAAAAGAAACAGCTAAGACGGGCGTGATCGATTGCGAAAGGTTCTCTCGTTGGGGAAGACTCGTTAGAGTTACAGCGTGGGTACTAAGGATGAAAAAGAACTTACTTGCTAAGATAAAGCCATCCAACGACATTGCAGTAGGAGAAGAATCGTTGACACCGGAAGAGCTTGAAAAGAGTCGAATCTTTTGGATAAAAGAAGCCCAAAAGGGTCTTCAAGTTAGAATGAAAGCCAATGAACTGAAGACGCTAAGCCCATTCGAAGATAAAGAAGGTATAATCCGTGTTGGTGGAAGAATCGATAATGCGTTAGTCTCGTACGAAACACGGCATCCAGCTCTCCTACCCTATGGTCACCGCATTTCAAGATTGATTACAGAAGAAGTTCATCAACAAGGTCACACTGGCGTTGCAACCACAGCAGCAAAGATCCGAAGAATGTACTGGATCGTGCGGGTACATGACCTAGCCAAGATCATAAAGTCAAAGTGTGTAACATGTCGAGGAGCGAATCCAAAAATCGAAACGCAGATAATGGCAAACCTCCCAAATTGCCGACTGACGCCCCATTCCCCTCCATTCCACTACACGTCATGTGACTACTTTGGACCAATAACAGTCAAAGTAGGACGGAACAAGACAACGAAACATTACGGGGTGATTTTCACGTGCCTAAATACCAGAGCTGTTCATCTGGAGGTTGCCACTGATTGCTCTGCGATGGAGTTTATCCAGACACTGCGAAGGTTCTTTGCCATACGTGGATATCCAGCCGAGATTTTGAGCGACAATGGTACTCAGTTTGTGGGTGCATTAACCGACCTTCGCCAAATGATCCAAGGAGTTGACAAGAAGGTACTGAAGGACTACTGTGCAGAACGAGGAGTACAGTGGAAGTTTATAACCCCGGCGGCACCACATCAGAACGGATGTGCAGAGGCATTAGTGAAAAGCTGCAAATTAGCCCTAAAGAAAGCAGTTGGTGAGCACGTACTGACTCCTTTCGAACTGTATACTTGCTTGCTAGAGGTGGCAAACCTTGTCAACCAAAGACCAATCGGACGACCACCAAATGATCCAGACGATGGTTCCTATCTGTGTCCGAATGATATGCTATTGGGCAGAGCATCTCCACAAGTACCACAAGGCCCGTTTCAGGAAACGAAAAATCCAAGAAAAAGAGTCGAGTTTATCCAAAAAATCGTTGAGTCATTCTGGAGACGATGGACAAGGGACGTATTCCCGTTACTGGTGCCAAGAAGAAAATGGAACACAGAGAGACGAAATGTACAGGTTGATGATGTAGTAATCGTAGCGGACGGAAATGCAGTGCGAGGAAAGTGGAATGTCGGACGCGTAGTTGAAGTGTATCCAGGACAAGACGGTAAGGTTAGAAACATCAAGGTAAAAACGGCGTCAGGAGAGTACTCGAGGCCCGTGACCAAGATCGCAGTGATTCAACCGGCAGAAGACGCAGAAGAAAAGAATTGATAAGAACATAGTCCTTATGGGGGCGGAGGATGTGTCGCTGACAAAACTTTATATATTTACGGGATAATTATTAACTAATTATAGTAATGCAGGACTAATGAGATTAACCTGATTGACACGTAATTTGACGCACATTTATATTCAGATAGATAGAGACAGAGACTTATAGTGTTAAACGAAGGAGATATGCTAACCTGTGTTGAAGCTAACCTGTATTTGTATGTGTATTTGTATATTCAGTATCAGTAAGACTAGATTGCGAAGACCTGGCAAAGAAGTAAGTCTCATTTATTGAAATTATGCGGTATATAACTCGAAGAGAGCGCACAGGTATATATCAGGCACTATTTGTTATTCTATACTTACAATTGTTATTCCTTATAATTACTTACTAGATCGAATAAAAACCTATCAATATTCATTGATTTATACGGTTCCGTGTCTCGCGATCTAACCGGGAAGTTTATTTACCCTGAATAATCCAACTGTGATACAAACATGTTTACTCCATGTTAGGTCACGCGAAACAGTGACTCCAAGATCTTTAAAGCTTTCTGTATCTCTCAAGATTGATGTTCCTAAAGTATAACTTGATTTTAGCATATCATTGGAGTGGGTTAACCGCATAGTTTCGCACTTTTCCACGTTAAATTTTAATTGCCATGTGTGTGCCCATTCGTCGAGACTGTTTAAGTCGTTTTGCAAAATATGCGTGTCCAAGACAGGATCTTTTATTTCTCTATAAATTTTAGTGTCATCGGCATACAGTTTGGCTTTAGATAAAATACAGTCCGTTATATCATTAATGTATATTAAAAACAAAATTGGTCCAAGTATTGTACTTTGGGGAGTGCCTGAAGACACTGGTGACCATTCCGAAAAAGTCCCTGTAATTACAACACGTTGCTTCCTGCCTGTAATGAAATGCCTAAACCATGTCAATAAACTCCCTTCGATACCATAACTTCTTAACTTCAAAATCAATCTTTCGTGCGGCACACTATCGAACGCCTTTGCGAGGTCAAGAAATATAACATCAGTGGGTACGCCAGAGTTCCTAGATCTCACCCAATCATCAACAGTTGAAAATAGTTGTGTTACGGTTGACTTGCCTTTCAAATAGGCAAACTGATTCTCACTCAAAATATTGATTCTATACCAGAATTCGAGAACTCTACTTCGAACAACTTTCTCCCCTATTTTGCATATAATCCCTGTAAGAGATATCTGACGATAGTTTTCTCTACTATTCTTCGAACCTTTTTTAAAAATCGGTGTAATGTTGGCAGCTTTCCACTCTATAGGTAGTATGCCCATCGAGAATGACTTATTTAGCAAAAGTGAGATTGAAGGTGCCAGCTCTGTTGCACATACCTTTAGAATACGTGCAGGGATATTGTCAGGTCCCGGGGACTTCTCTACCTTAAGATTTAGAAGAAGCTTTCCTACTTCGTCAACAGAACAACGGATGTTCTCTAATCTGTCGTCCACAATATAGTCAAGCACTGGGATATTATCATAATTTTCAACTGTAAAAACAGAAGAAAAATACGAGTTCATGCTATCTGCAATACCTTGGTCGTCAGTGAAAACAGATTCTCCAACTTTCAGGGATATCAATTTATTTGTTCCTTTACACTTAGATTTCACAAAGTTCCAAAATGGTTTGGGATTGTCGTTGTCTGTCAAATCTTGAGCTAAATCGGTTATATACCTCCACCGAGCTTCATTGCACTTCCTTTTCAAATTGTTATTCATTCGACGATAACGAATCCAGGTACTTTCATTTTGGCTTCGTTTTGCTTTTTTTATAAAGTAGCTTCTTCTTCCTACATAGAGATATTAGCTCTTTATTAATCCACGGCGCATTTTGTCTTTTTTTCCCTTTTGTTTTCGGGATGCATTCATCTACTGCTGCAAAAAACAGATCTTTCCATGAATTCCAATTCTCATCAATATTCTCTTCAAGAAATGCTAAGTTCCATGGAATTTGAGACAACGTTAATTTCAGTTGTAACCAATCAGCTTTTTTGTAACAATAAACATATTTTTTGGATTTAAGCTGGACATATGGTTGTCCAGTTAATAGAAACGTAATCAAATTATGGTCTGAAAACTTTTCACCGACTGATAGGTTTTTTATGCTATCAGATGAAGTTGATAGAACAAGATCAAGTATATTATGTTCCCTCGTGGGTTCAATAACCAACTGAGTTAGAAAATTGTCCTGAATATTATGATATCCATTAATATTGAATAATTTTCAGAGTTACTTAAAGCAGTATTGTTCGACCATGAGAAATCAGGCAGGTTAAAATCCCCTAAAAGCACAAGGTCAGACGTAGACAGTTTGTCCAGATTAGTTCTAAGATCAATTAGTGGTTCGGTGTTTGAATCTGGTGGCCTATAGAAAACTCCTAACGTAGTTCTCCGATTATTCGAAAATACAATCTCAACAAACATCAGCTCTGAGCTACAGTAAAGATCATCTCTGGGATAAACATTGATCGAGTTTAATACCGCAATTAGGACCCCACCACCATGACGTCCATTTATATTTCTGTCACGCCTAAACACCGTATAATTATCAGGAAATATCTCTGCATCACCGATGCTACTGTCCAGGTGCGTCTCGGTTAAAACAATAATATCGTAAGAACCATTAGCTATTTCCAAGTCCAGCTTGTTTACTTTGTTAACTATACTTCTAGCATTTGTATAGAAAACAGCAAGGTCTATGCCCTTCCGGATTTTTTCATTCATAACGTAATGTAATTGAAGCTCTTGATAAAACTGTCTAAAATCCTAAGTTTCCTTATTTTTGTCCTGCCATTTGGCCTGTGATACCCATGGTCGTGCGTACACATTCTCCGGCCAAAAATCATTTTGCAAAACCCGTTCGTAATCCCTACTATTAACATTAACGCGAATGGCCACAGTACCTTTTCTTTTACTTTTGAAAATCCTTATAACAGTTGGAGAGATACCTTTACGCTCCATATATTCAGTAACTAACTCCGTTGTCGCGCCCTCCCGAGCTCCACCGAGATACAATCTCTTTACCACTCTTCTTGCTACACCAACAAATTCAGAGTTGTTACTATCCTCGAGGTCTATCTGTTGACTGTTATTCACTTCCGATTGATTTTGGTTAGTCAACCCATGTTCTAGTGAATTTCCATTATTTTCTGAACCTGATCTTTTTTTGTTTGACTCTATGGAATGATTAGCTTTTTGTTTTACCACCGCAGCAAATGTTATTTCGGACCTATTATCATTACTATTATCGTTTGGATCCTCCGACTCGATGTTAATCGCCATAGGCCTATCATTGTCTAAATTATGATTAGTAGCATTCGATTGATTTTGAATGTTTTTAAATGAACGTTCCGCATCATTAATGTTAGAATTTGCATATTTTTTCAAAATCCCGCTTCATCCGCGCATTTCGCACGCTCGCGCCAGTCTCCCGTGCATCACACATGGATCAGGCAAATATTAGCGCGTTTCACCGCCCGTGTTTTACTACGCCCTGGGCGCTCCGACTCCGGAACTCCGACTCCGTGTTTTCCATCTAACCGTTTCGGCACGCATTTTTCTTATTTGCCCGCATTTTTCATAAATGCTAATATTTATTATTACTGAACTAAAAGTCCTTCATCATCAAGGCACTGATAAAAGCACAGTATGTGTGATAATATTATTTATTGTAGTTATTGTATTTGTATATTATCATGTTTATTTTATATAATATAAACGGTTTTTGAGTCAGTGACATGTCTAGGCTCAGATTCCAGCCGTTGTGTTAAGTGGGCGAGTGGCGAGAACACAACGGCTGGAATCTGAGCCTATGACATGTCATGAGACACGGAGTTATCGGACTCCAGACTAGAAAGAATTAATTATAGAACGCAGAAACATAAAACTTGTGACGTTAATTTGTACTTCAATCATAAGATTTACTCCAGGTAATCTCACATATTAGGGACGGACCATTAGAAAAGTGATGGGACAAAAAAAAACATTACTCCCAGAAAAAAATTAGGAAAAAAAATCTTCCCAGGCATGTGCAAAAAAATTTCCTAGCTTGGAGGATAGGCCTATTAAATTCACTTAAATAAATATATTTCCAGCCATCAGTGAGAAAAAATATATATTTCTTCTATATGTGTACAAAAAAAATATATTGCCTCTTACAAAATCCCAACACTTTTCTAATGGTCCGTCCCTTAGTATTTTTACACAAGTGAACATAACAAATCCTACACGTTGATTGGTCAAATTTGACGTAATAAGGGGCCGACCATTTTACTTTTGAGGGGGGGGGGGTTTGAAAAAAATTTCCTGCAAGGCTATTCTAAAAAAATAAAATGCCTGCACTAACAAACTGGGGGAAAAAATATCCTGCCCCAGTATTTGGTGGGGAAAATATGTTGCAAAACAGCATGGTTGCAGAGATCGATTTGACCAGTCCGAGAAGATCAGCAGGTTTGATTTTCAGGGACTTAGTGCAAGCATGATTTTTCTGTGTTGGTGTAATGTACTCAGGTGAGTATGATGCTTGTGATGTTACTCTGAGTGTATATCCACACCGGGCAAGCTTGAAAAATATGCCTGACCACGGTGGAAATCAAACCTACGAGCTTTGGAATACTAGCCCAATGCTCTGCCAACTGAGCTACGCGGTTAGGTCGGTTCGAGTATGTGATATTTCAGAACAGAATCTAGTTCTTTGATATCAATGTTATTTAAACCAGAGTAGCGAGCGAAACATGATTGATATACCTGGTTGCAGTGAACGAACAAACTTTACATTTTGAAGAGCTTGCAACCAACATGACGTCATAAATTAGCGGACATATTCATACTCATTTACATATCAAACAAATTGAAATATCTCGGGAACAGACCATAAAAACAAGAAACTGAAAAATAAGTTACACTACAAGTCTACAACTTAAAGAGTTCTTTCATTTAAGAAAATAAGAAATTTCATGTCATATGCACTTTAACAGGCATATTTTTTATGCGAACAGAATTGTTGTTGACATTTGAATTACGTAATTACTTCCGTTAACGAGATTAACCAATGGGAAGCTTTTCCGAAGATTCTTCGGAGAAGAACAAATTTGTCATAGGCATTTGGGCAGGCGTTTACTTAACGACGCCCTTTCTTCTCCCGCCCGCACTAGACGCCTGATACAAACACCAGTCTATAGGCCTACATTCGTAATACCATATCTGTTCTACACGTATACATTTATATTATTACACCTTCCTTGCATTGAAAACACTCAAATTTCAAGAAAACTGCGCTAAAATGATCAATATTTCATGCAAAAAAAGTTGTTTTGAGAAACGTTGGAAATTTTGAAGTTCATATATATTAATATATTGAACCGAAATTAGGGACAGACCATTTGATTTTTCATGGCAGGGGGGGGGGGGCGCATTTTTGAGAGTGCTCGATTTTTCTTTTTCTTTCTCGAACTCTTTCTTATATTTCAAGTATTTATGCTTCGAAATTCAGTTGAAACCAGAACAGAGAATGTCTATTATTAATTTGCTACGTGGTGAAGACGCCGGTTATCGCAATTCTTCCTACTGGATACGGAGAAGTTTGAGTTTCAAATATACATTTATTAAATATATCGGCAAATTATTTAAGCTTGCTATACATGCTATTTTAATAGCTCTGATCATCTGATGTCAGCACGAGCAGGGATCGAATATTTCTTATAGTTGTCTTGATATTTGTTGAGGCTACATTACTTGGCATTGCAGCTATGAAGTTGGACCGCTTGGACAATGATTTTATAAAGAATATTAACATTTCAAAACACGCTCAACTGTTAGTGGTTCAGAAGCCTTTTAAAGGATAAAAGCTCTGTGTTGTGACTGTTGTCTAAAATAGCTTCAAAAAGTCATTAATAATTCATGAGGAAAACGCAAAGAAAAATCATAAACGTGTCGTATCCATAGGTCGTATCTTTATATGCGATAGAGATTTCCCTGGACATACACAACGAATTTTTTGAAAGTTACTTCTCCAATGAACTTACTAGAATTAAGACATTCGCAGTGCGTGTTTTATCAGACCATCTTTATTTCGGATAAGACACTGCTGCTCATGTTTTATATAGTACATAAAATCTCTGTAAATCTCCCTAGTTGCCAAGCTAACGGCATGCATGATGCTAAATATAAATCTCGACTATGATTGGATAATGGGTGACGGTGCTAATTACAAAACGTCAATCATCCTTAATGGGCGAAAACTAATTTGTCATAGCTATTTGGGCAGGCGGTTCCTCAAACGACGCCCTTTACTAAACGCCTGCTGGATATGTACTCACTAGTGGCATTCCCTCCTGATCTATAGAATTGTGCTTCTCGATTTCAATTGACTCTCTCATTTTGCGAGATAACTTATGACTATCAATCGCCAAAATGGTTGCTTCGTCCCATTTTATACGATGGTCGTAAGTCCAAGTATGTTTAGCCACAGCAGATTTATCTTGCTCGGCTTTCTCGCAATTCGTCTTGTGTTCCTTAATAAGACGTACTGAGAGATTTCGACCAGTTTCACCAATGTAAACCAGACCACATTCACAAGGAATGCGGTACACACCAAGTTTCTGAGATTCATTTACGTTGTCCTTATGTGCGCAAAGAGCTCGAAACAATTTGTTTTCGCTGGAATGGTATACCTTTATACCTGCTTCATTCCTCAAAATAGATTAGATTGGCTCAAAACAAATTAGATTGGGTAAGAATGACATTATGGTAAGTTTTGACGTAGTTAGCTTGTTCACTAATGTTGCAGTTGAAGAGGCTTGTAATATCGCGAAAGAAAGACTTCTTTCAGGTATTACATTAACTCAAAGAACTAATCTTTCTCCTGAGAATGTTCATGATTTGTTGAAACTAAGTTTGACCACGACATGTTTTCAATGGCGGGAGAAATTCTATGAACAAACAAACGGCGCTACAATGGGAAGTCCATTGTCGCCTGTTATGGCTAATTTGTTCATGTAGGAATTTGAAAAGAAGGCCTTTGAAAAGAAGGCCATGATACATTGAGTAGCTGGTCTCATGGACTAGGTAATTTACAAAAGTTTCTAGACCACATTAATAGTTTGCATCCATCGATCAAGTTTACTTTTGAAGTACAGAAGGATGATAAAACTATACCATTCTTAGATGTTCTTTTCACTATACATGATGATGGGTCGCTAGGACATAAGGTTTATAGGAAACCAACACATACAGACAGGTATCTGCATTATAATTCATTTCATCATCCTAGTATCAAAAACTCTGTGTGTAAGACACTCATCAACCGAGCGAAAACAATTTGTGAGGTAAGTAACGTTGACAATGAATTAAAAACAAATGGTTACCCACGGCATTTCATAGATAATGCTATAAAAACGCCACAAAGTATACAGCAGAAGATTGAGTATCAGTCGTCTGTTTGTCTACCATACATTGGCCCGGCTTCACACCAAATCGAAAGAATTTTGAGGAATGAAGCAGGTATAAAGTTATACCATTCTAGCGAAAACAAATTGTTTCGAGCTCTTTGCACACATAAGGACAACGTAAATGAATCTCAGAAACCTGGTGTGTAACGCATTCCTTGTGAATGTGGTCTGGTTTACATTGGTGAAACTGGTCGAAATCTCTCAGTACGTCTTAAGGAACACAAGACGAATTGCGAGAAAGCCGAGCAAGATAAATCTGCTGTGGCTAAACATACTTGGACTTACGACCATCGTATAAAATGGGACGAAGCAACCATATTTTGGCGATTGATAGTCATAAGTTCTCTCGCAAAATGAGAGAGTCAATTGAAATTGAGAAGCACAATACTATAGATCAGGGGGGAAAGCCACTAGATAGTACGTGGCGTGCTCTCTTTAATGTGCAAAATTGATTTCTCTTGTCTTGGATGCGCGCGCGTTAATTGGAATCACTTCACTACGTTTTGCAATGACGTGTTGATGTGCCGTTTAATTAAATTTCAAATGACGCGAGCCAACAGATCACGACACTCTTGTATACAAAAAGAGCGTGTGAATTAAACAAGTCACATATTATCACAGAATAGAAAGTTATACCAGAAGCGTAACTCGAGCAAATATTTGTCCGCGTTTTTACAAGCGATTCGTCATCAATCACGTCATCAATCACGCCATCCTGGCTAGAACAACCGGCACTTTGTACCTACCAAATCCTGATAAAAACTTCCGGCTGTACTAGCCAGGATGGCGTGGCCTGACGTGAGCGAGTTAAAATTTTCGTGGACGTCAAACAATAAGGGAAACGACTAGAGTTACGCTTCTGGTATAACTTCCTATTCTGTGCTGATGGCGTTGAATTTGACACTTACTGGCAAAATGGCGGCTATAAAAAAATCTCGGACATAATTTTCGCAGAGTGACACATCTTTATAGTATCTAATCTTTGTTTATAGTATCTAATCTTTGCCCTTATCACAGATGAGGTAGATACAGATGTGAATCTTCCGTCAAATTGCTGATTGTTTTGTGTCACACGGAATTCTCACTTCCGGCGAGCGCTGGCAAGTGTCGTTCTGAAATTTAATAAGGAAAGAGATAGGAAAACGCCGTTCGAAAGACGAAAAATTGTTTTTTTTAAAAGTCTACGCTACCGACGGCTATTTTTGAAATTAATTCTTCAAGAGTAACGGTAAGCGATCACTTTTATTGATTTCTTTTTATTAAAAGTGTTAATATAACATTTTATTTAGCAAAAGTTTGTTTTTTTCCCTATCTACTTCTTATTAAAATCGCGAAATACACTTGCTGGGAATTTCAGATGCTCGTGTATAAATAACAAAACAGCGAATGATATAAATGCCTCAAAACATAACTCTCGCATAAAAAAAACATGAATACTTCTATAATATGTATAGTTTTATTTCTCTGCTTTATCAAAATTTAATAAAATAGTGAATTAATACAATTTTAAAGTTTATTTAATCGGTGTGACATAATTTGACGGAAGATTCACATCTGTATCTACCTCATCTGTGCCCTTATTGTTTGACGTCCACGAAAATTTTAACTTGCTCACGTCAGGCCACGCCATCCTGGCTAGTACAGCCGGAAGTTTTATCAGGATTTGGTAGGTACAAAGTGCCGGTTGTACTAGCCAGGATGGCGTGATTGATGACGAATCGCTTGTAAAAACGCGGACAAATATTTGCTCGAGTTACGCTTCTGGTATAACTTCCTATTCTGTGCCACAATCATGTAGCCAGTAGATTGTTTGATTGCTCAGCCAATTCCGCGGTTTGATTGGTCGGCAGGATTGGAAAAAATAATTTTATTCCTGGGAGCGCAATCTGGCGATGGAAATTTCCTGCAGGCACAATATTTTATGCTAATCTGCGCCTGAACATGAAGTGTCCTACTTGACCATAGTTTTAAATTTTGTGGAAAGATGTCGGTCAACCATAAGTGGTTGGGCCCAGAGTAGAACATGCACGTTAGAGTTTTTCCTTCAAATTTTGAAGTTGCAATTCAGAAGTTCTTGCTCCAAATCACTGCATGTTAAAAGTTCAAGCAGTTGGTGTGTATGAAGATTTTTATGTTTATCATTTGAAATTTTCATTTAGTCTGACCGATCTGGGAAACCAAAAGTGAAGGCTCTTGGTGAGTACACAATGATCAAACATTTCTTAAATTATCCAAGTTAAACCACCAATAGACCTTTCCCCTTATGAGTGAAATTTTGATCTAGATATGCCTGGACAAAAATTTCATCACAGTTTGAAAGAGCATCACAAAATTAG